CTATTTGGTAAATTCTCAACTGAATGCTCAGCCCTCCCAGAGACATTGCTACGCAGTAGGAACATTTTGCCAAAACTATAATGATAATTTTCTGCAAAATAGATCTGAGAAGAGAACATTTATTTGCTTAGTAGGATGATCCAGCTTTCAGTTAGTCTCGTAAGCAGGAGGTCTAGGTGTTTTGTGTTTTCTTTTCCCCTGCAGAAGCAACTCTCTTGAGTCTTGTTTTCAACTTTTACAATATTGCATTTTTAGATTCCTGAAACTCTGTCACCTTTCACTCTTTCCCTGGAGGAAGCCCTTCCCTGTCTCTGCAGCAATCTGACTTGAAGGTCTGTGAAGATGTTTTATTTTGATTTCTGTAGTAAAAATGTGGAAACTTCATTCCAAATTTATTACCAGAAATAGGCCCATCAGCTATCTGTTTGGTAATGGATTTACCACAGTCTAACCTGACAAATGAAGATGTAACTTTGCTCAAAAAGTAGAAAGACACAGTGACAAAAATAAAATTCACCTGGGGAAGAAATGACATCAATACATTTGGAATACTTTTTAAATGGTAAAATCATTTGGGGTTGCTATGGACTGAATATTTGTGTTCCCCAAAATTCACATGTTGAAATTGTAACCTCTAAGGTGATGATGTTAGGAGGTAGGGCTTTGGGGAGGTCAATAGGCCATAAGGGTGAAGCCCTCATGAATGAGATTAGTGCCCTTATAGAAGGGACCCCATAGAGCTCCCTCACACCTTCCACCTGTGAGGGCACAGAAAGATGCCAGCGGTTTGCAAGTCAGACGAGAGTGTTCACCAGACATCAAATCTGCTGTCGACTAGATCTTGGACTTCCAGCCTCCACAGTTGTGAGACACAAATTTCTGTTGTTTAAGCCACTCAATGTATGGTAATTTGTCATAGTCGCCCCATAGACTAAGGCAGGGATATTTTGGGATTCATTCTATGATATACTTTGGAAAATAGAACTTCTTAAGCAAAGTAAATGAGTATTTTAGTCCTCAACGCACATGTAAAGTCAGATCAGAGCTTTGCAACAGAAAAGCAGCTCTATTTTTATAGGGTTAAAAGACAAACATGAAGCTGTGGGTATTGTGAATTTTGAAAAAGGGAACAAAGATTGCAACAAGTATTTACTTAGTTTATTCTTCCTATACTTGAGGATTTGTTGCAACTACTGGATCTGAGGCCACAAGGTCACGGAAAACACCATCTCGGAGGTGACCACAGTCCTAAGTCCCCTGCTGTAATGGCTGGTGAACCATTACCAGGGAGAAATAAGACACTTTAACAGTATCTAAATAAAAAGAAGTGACAAGGAGAAAAAGGGAAAGCAAAAGCTTCATGTGCCCAGGGGAACTTTTGTTTGTGACATTGAAGCTGTACAGTTGCACCTCACATGCTGACACCCGGCAGTGTCCCCACCAAGAGGCCATCGAAAGTGGACAATGGCTCGAAGAATCTTCTTGTTTATTCAGTTATTTTCATAAAGGCTCATCTGTTCCTATGTTTAAAAACATGGAACTTTTCCAAAAAAAGCCGAGCTTCATTCTCTTATATAGGCTTTGAAAAGAATTCAATGTCATTTTGGTATTTGGAATCTCACCTACCTACAAGGTAAAAACAAACCACCTGTGAGGCAAGTCTCATCATGGAAAGTACCCTGGTTATCAACTGCAAAGGCCTGTCTTCAGCTTCCATTGCCCCATCTTGTTCCTTCAGACTTGGCCGCCTCCCTGCCTGAATGCTCCTTACTTTCTGCGTGTCTGAACACATCTTACATGCTGGATAAGGGGCTTCTGATTGGGACCTTCCCTCCCTGGAAAGAAATTGCTGCCCACAGAATATCACAGCGGTTCTAATTAGGCATGACTCAGCTCTTCCGTGACCTCTGTTCTCACTTTCCTTTGATTAGGCTGGTGCACTGGTCCTACTCGTGGAAATATGGTATGTGTCTCCCTACCCTCCATCAATTTTAAGACGGAAAAGTCCCTTTTAGAAGATTCTTTCATGGAATTCTTGCCATGGATGGTTTTTCTTCCCTTGCCATTGCCCCTGTTGTCTCCCTTTTCCCCCCAATTTGCTGTCTAGAGATTTCTTTCTTACTCCAATTTTCCCAGAGTTTGGAATTATCAATCTAAAGTCAAGAGTCCAGAATTCATCACTATTATCAATAAAACTTTGCAGTTATTTCCTTCAAACTTTTTTTCCTGTTCAAACATTTCTTTATTTCAAAATAATTAAAGCATCGATGTGTGTTTCTATTTGAGTATAATTTTAAATCTTCAAAGTGTGGAAGGACAATTTAAATTTACTTTAACCTTACCATTAATGTGATAAAGATTTTCTCTCTCTGCTGATTTTAAAAACTTACACGAAGCTGCAAAATGCTGAAGGGGGCAACCCTGCTTCAGAAAAAGAGAAGGAAAGAACTTCATGACAAAAATACTTGTTAGGAAGTAGCAAATGAAATGTGTCAATTTTCTTTTATGACTTTGACCATCTTTTTCCTTAAAGAGAACAGAAAAGGAAAAGATAACCTACCTAAAACATTAATATTATTTTCAGAGTTCTAGGATAATCCAGAACAGAGTCATTTTTGAAGAAAAGGAAATAGGTTTCATTTCTGGCAGTGGATCCCCTCCACTGATTTGCATATTCCTTGACATGATAAGCTGTATGAAGATGCCTTGAGTTTATTCCACAGATGGAAAATAACATGTACAGGAATTGGCTAAACATTCACAAGGACTACCATCTGAGGTTTGATTTTCAATCAAGAGATAGTGTCCGACACACATTTCACTGAGCATGCTTGTCAAAAATCTCACATTCCAGATGCACCAAGAATGCATGCATTGAACACACACACGCCCCATCCAACAACTGCATCCCAGCAGCCCCCGCACACACGTTTTAACACAGTCACAACAGAGCATGCTCCCAAGCCTTCAAGCCTCTACCGCCCTCAGCCAATCAACTGCCAAAAAGATGCTAAAGCAGCAGTTGAAGTGGGTCTGACCTCTGGTACCCATGGTTACTCCAGAGAACTTCCTGTGAGCCCCAGGGACTCAGAGGAGGGGGTGAGGAGACTGCCCCAGGCAGTCAGTCTGCTTCCTACTCATTCTTCCTTATTTGCATCATACTTCCTTATTCGCATCTTTCTCTGGAGACCATAAACATGTTTTGGGGGTTTCAACAGGCCCTGCTACTCAGTAGTAACTAGTTACTAGCAAAATGAACAGAACAATAATTCTAGCAGAATAACAGTTTTTACATTATCTAATGTTTTCTTGGCTTTCTACACATTTTCCCCCCATCCTTTTGTTGCAAGTGGAATCCTGCGCTTAAGCCAAGCAGGCAATGTAAAGCTCTGACTTCAAAGCCATTTCTTGATAAAACATCAAACAGCCCGGAGTGGACCAACTGTTATCTGGAATTCTACAGATAATTAACTGAAACTCAGCACCCACTTGCCTTGGGAGTTTCTGTAGGCAAGGTCTTTCTCATGGTCCTGCTAGCTTTTGTTGCCCTTTCTCCTATTATTTGTTGGCCAGGGAAAGGTTTGGATGGCCTCTCAATAAAATTCCCTGTTACCAAGCATGAGGAATGTGAACACTTGCTTAGCCTCGTAGAGGCTTAAAACAGGCACTGCGCCCTCATTCCTCTCTTTTGCTCCGTGAGGTGCCATTGTTCTGCTCCTCCCTCTTGATTTGGAAACACCACTGCCTGTGCCTTCTCCTGCCATTTTCCTTATTTTAGAGGAGCAGCAGACTTCCTGCCAGGAGTGTCAGAAATATTGTCTTATAAACTTAGTTTTGAAAAATGTGATGATACTAAATCTATAGAAGACCCAGAGCCCCCACTGCGGATCTGCTGGTCCATGAGCATATTAGTGAGCCCCCTCTCTTCTTCCAGCCTTCTAACTCTAGCCCTCCCAACCCTTTTACTTGAGTCAAGAGGATGGTCTTACCACTCCAACCCCCCTGCAGTTTTCCACTCCCCACCTCCATGCATTGCCCATTGATCAAGCCACATCTCCCTTTAAATGTGAAGACTCACCTTAAACCCCACCACCTCTTTCAAGGAGCCTCCCCTGATTAAGTGGGGATGAAGACACCTCCGAAGCATGATCGACAAACTCCCGATACATAAGAAAACATACAGCCCAAAACAAACACAGAAACTCACAGAGAGAGAAAATTACACATTCTCTACTTTCAGATTGTATGCTCCTATGAGGGTAAGGGAATCAACTTTATGCCAAAACCAATTAATCATTTCAAACGATAAGGTGTTTATAATATTCTTGGAGGTTACTCCGAAAAACATTGCTACGACTTCTCTTCCCCAATGATTCTCCTCTTTCTTCAGGTCCCTTTTCCTTTTCTTCTCAGCTCTTTGCATGCACAACTAGCGGGGACTGGCCCTTGCCGGGTATGAATGACATGGAGAACACTAAAGGAAGCTGGTGCTTGCCATCTCTCCTGGGTGGTCAATCACACTGCGCAGGATGAACCTGCATTTGAGCCTGGTAAAGGCCTTAGCCACTTAGTTTTTCTCATCAGGAAGCCTTGATGGCTCCATGTCTGCTACGTTGGCGTAAGGGACCGAAAACACTCTAAAGAAGTCCCTACTGAAAGAATGGGAACAAGGCTGCTGGCGAGACTCAATGCCTAGCCTCAAATAAAACCTTTGGAGAGCAAGGGGATCTCTACAGAGCACTGGATATAAGGCAACCACATCAGAAAATAGAAACAGACATGTTCGCTGCCCTCTCGGGTCAGCGTTAATGCCACTTGTGGAGGGCGGAGAGACTTGTGGCAGAAAATGACCAGAATGAAGAGAAACACAGATGGAATGGCGATAGCTGGCAGTTAGAACATGGCATCAAACACCACTGCCACAGAAGCTTTCTAGCTACAAAGCCACGCTATGCAACCTTTAAGCAAAACATTACTGATTTTGTGGTTGTAAAACGTACCTTCAACAGCAGAACTCAGTTTTATGACACCTTGAATAAAAACAAAAAGTGGCAGTTATATAATGGACCCAAATTACCTTTTCCAGTCTTCTCATAACAAATGCATGCTTCAGAGCTGGATTTTTTTTGCTGGTATTTTGATAATTTAACTAAACAAATGTCAACTTCAAGATTGAAGTAATTTTTAGCCCTTGATTAGACATCATGGGATCATGAGTGTGTTCATTTTTCCATGAAAATCATTTGGAGGGGGGTATTTCTCACTAAATGGAGCTGACATATTTTGGGGTGAACAAAGGCCAAGCCTGTCTGTCTGACTATTTCTGGGTATAAATCATGCTGCATAATAGACTGATAAAACTTTCCACATTAGGATACTAGTGTCTAGTACTTCCTATTTATCACTGTGTATAGAGATCATGTGATACATATTGGAACAGGGTTTCTGCTGAAATATGTAACAGGTAGTTAAAAACCATGGTGGGATCCGGGGGTTTCCTTCTTTAGGGCAGCTGGGCCGCGTGCGGTTTCTGGTCTGATGTGTTCAGCATTCCTGCTTCCCGAAGGTCAGACAGTGAAAGGGCCATCTGAGCATGCCAAATTATTCAGGAAACAAGTGGACATTACCCTTGGCTGTATATTCATGTGCCTTTTTGGTGGACCTAAAAGTGAAAATACTAAACTAAGATAAATTAGACCTGCTTCAATAATTTGATTTAAAAAATTTTTTTTTTGGTAAGCCCTGGTTTTAAATGAACAATATTCTCCAAACTCTCTGTGATAGCCAGGATAATTTAGGCTGAGCAAAAATGTCAACAGTTTCGTTCAGCTGACATTCTGGTTCTCTTTGAAGATGGAAGAATTTCAAATTAAAAATGGAAACAAAACTGGTGAACTAAATTGGCATCAACATGAACACACTCTGATTTTAACAGATTTTGTTCACAAAAAGACAAAATTGCTGTCTATTATAACTTTCCAAAAAGGCTATTTTCAAGTTACCTGTTGAATTTCATGTTTCCTGCAGAGCCAGTAGTGTCTGCTCAATATTTAACAAGAGACTTTCCAGGGGAAAAAGTATGTCTACATATTGGTATGTGTGTTTAGTATCAGTTTTGCTAATATGAATGATGTATAGCACAGAACCTACAAATAATAATAGAATATATGGTGCTCTTTACTGCAACTTCTGTCACAGGCAATTGATTGTCACACAAGGCTTTGTTGATTTTGGCCAAACACTTGTATCCACAGCCAGCAAGTCAACCATGATTTGACAAAACCATGCACTGATTTTGTAGCACTCCAATCTGCTCTTTCCCAGTAAATTTATTGTCATTACATCTTTTTTGTGACCTACTGTTAAACTATTTTTCATTGTCATATAAGCTACTGTCATTAAATTAAAACCCTTTCAACTTTAACACCGTGCAAGCACTCCCACCAGGACCTGTTTCCAGAGCCCAGTGTGACGTCCCTGAACAAGGAGCTGCAGGGACGGGCAGCAGCGACACTGTCATGCATCAGCTCCCGATACAAGGGTAGTGGATATAAACAGCCTCAAGAGTACAGATAGTAAAATGTAGTCAAATGATGAGGATGTAAATATTTTTACTGGGGGGCCCCCAAAAAACAGACTTTATAAAAAATTGTGTATTTATTTTTACATGTTTAAACTTCAGTCACCTTCAAAGTATTCTCCATATGATGCAATACACATATTGAAACTTTTTTCCACTGGCTCAAAATGATTTTTGAACTTGTTGATTTTTTAGAAAAGATTTTATGTATTTTATTTTTTAGAGAAAGGGTAAGGGAGGGAGAAAGAGAAGGAGGGAAACATCAAATGGTTGCCTTTCACATGCCCCCAATTGGGGGTCCATCCCACAACCCAGGCACGTTCCTTGACTGTGAATTGAACCAGTAACCCTTCAGTTCACAAGCTGGCGCTCAATCCACTGAGCCACACCAGCCATGACTGAACATGGCGATTTTAATACCTTTTAGTGCTTCTGCCATTTTTTGTTCCACCTCTTCCACATCGGCAACATGGTTCCCTTTGAGGACTTTTTGCATCCAGGGAAACAGGAAAAAAAGTCACTTGGGGTGAGATTGGGTGAATAGGGATGGTGGGGCATGGGGGTCATGCTGTTTTTGGTTAAAAACTGTTGAACACTCTGTGGTGTAAGCAGGTGCACTTGTAAATCACCCATCATGAAGCAGGGAAATGAGTTGAAAGAGTCTTAAAAAAAATTTCCCTAAAGCTGAACACAGCCTCTCACAACAACACCAGCTGGTACAGTGATACAGATGGGTTCCTAGAACACTCACCTAGCAGAGGAAGCCTGTGCCACAAGGGGCCTGCCCTCCAGAAGATAAATCTGTTTTTTGGGGGTCACCCCTCATAGGTATTTATTACCATTGTTTTAAAAATAATTGTAAGTTTAAATAATTTAATTTGTAATAATGACTGTGTTTAATAATGGACTCCCAAAATTTCTGAAAATGTAACAACTGGCTCTTGCAAACTGGTATGAACCAGGTCTACGGTAGCATTGTTATAACTGATGTTTCTTTCCACTCAGGCTCAGAAAAGAAAATCTTAATCTTCAAAACACTTTCTGAGATAGCCACAAAAAGGGTTATAATTTAATTGAACAAGCTGAATGTGTGTGAGCTTAGCCTTTACTGTTATTTTGCCAGTAATTTCAAAACCTCTTAAACCTGTCATATGCAAAAATATACTGTACATAGATTACCTTGGAAATAACAGTCATGGACAATCAACTAAGAGCACAACCTAAATGCACTCAGCATTCTTTTGGTCAGGCAACTATGCCAAGAGGTATGAATCATTGGCTTATTAAACAATGATCCTGTCTTTTTTAAACTATGGAATTTTTATACAGGAAACCAGGTCAGAATATATTTTTTCAGCCATATTTATTTTTGTGTTTAACCATAATGTCAGCAACAGTTATTCATACAAAAGAACAACCAGGCACTCTAATCAGTGTGTAGAAATAGGCTGTATGCAAGGAAAGCAAGAACTCGAAACAAATTCTTATGGGAGACTAGGGTGGTGGTGGACCGGAGCCCAGCAATGCATTTATGAAGGGGAAAAAGGTAAGTTAAAAAACAAATAAAAGTCTGACTTTAGAACTCTAATGATAAAGATTATTTTAATAAAAACTTTGGTGATTCATTAACTCCATATGGCCTGTTGTTATTTTTTTTTTAACCTCAAATCAAGCTTTTCCTTATAGTAGGATAGGCCTACTATCCTACTATAGTTATAGTTATCCCTGTTATAGTGAAAATCTAGAATTAGCTAAATGTAGTTGGATAGCTAACATTAACATTATACAAAAAATTATAGAACGAGGGGAAATACATCTTTTATGTTAAAATAGGAATATATTTTAAAGTTTGACTATTTAAGAAATGATTGACGTTGATACTGAGGTTACGCATAGCACTGCTGAGTCCGGGACACACCGCAGATGCTCTCTCTCAACGGGCTGACGGCGACATCGCCTGGAACTCGAGGTGAGCCGTAGTGCAAACGTGTGTATGTGAGCACAAGGGACCCTCCCCTGCCTACCCCAAGGTAATTTCTCACAGTCTTCAGAAATATTTGAAAAATCAAATAGAAAAAAGAGAGAGAAAAGGAAAAGGAAACCAACTGTTTTTTCCTCAATTTGGTATCTTTAGTAAAATCCTCATCTTGTGGGTGATTCAAGAGATTGTCTTCCTGTGGGTCAGAGGCAGTCACTGACTAGGTGTGCTTTCTGCACAGTTCTCCAATTCCAAAATCACTCCACCCTCCTTCCTACCACTTTCACCTGTTGATGAGTTTCCATTGATCTAAAATAATTCTTCGGAGAAAGGGTGAGGTTAAAATAATTCTTGCTAAAGTTTAAATGACTGGGGCTCATTAAACCCTCCAATGATACCTTACTGTTGTTGAATATTAATCAAAATTTTAACCCTGGCCATCAGGTCCTTTGTGATATATCCCTGCTTATTTTCCTATTTCTTCCACTTCATCATTCAAGATGCTTTAGCCACTTCTGTCTTCTCTCTGTGCTTTGCAACACCAATGGCCTTCTGCTCCTGGCTAGTGCCCTTGCTGCTCCTTCTGGCTTGAATGCTCTCCTCTAACTTACCAGAGCTTCCTATAGCTAGCTCTTTCTCCTCATTCAAATTTTACTCTAAATGTTACTTCCAAGAAGTTCTTCCTTGATTACTGTATTTAGAGCAGCCCTAGTGATAACTCTCTAGACCATCTTTCTCTTTTATTGTATTTTTTTTCATAGCAATCATCACCTCTTAGAATTATGTCACTGATTTATCATTTGGTTCCTTGTTTGTATCTACCTTCCTCATCAGAATGAAGTAGAATGAGGGCAAGGACCTGCTCAGTTTTGCGTGCTGCTATGACACCCCTGACTAGATCAGTGTCTGACATGGAGTAAATACCCGATAAATATTACCCAATGAGTAACTGATCATTACAAAGTGTTGCCACGTGTTCTGAAAGAGGACTTTGTGTATCCCAGCAAATGCATTTCAAACATGTTATCTTAACTGTGGATGTTGTTGAGCAGAGTCCTCAAATTTCACTGTAATGACCACTATTTCTACTCAGAGGCTAGTCTTCATGGAGGAGAACATTGAGATGTAGAGTGAATATACATAAGTTACAGTAGGTAGTTAAGTTTCAGGATTATAGTGTTAAAAAGGTACCCAAGAAGTAAGTTTATCAACTACCTGGGCACAAGGAAATGCCCTACATGGACTTCAAGGAAAATTGGCTAATTGATTTTATATCCTTACAGCTCTAGCATCTGCAGTTCTCATCTCTACTGTCATCACCCTAGGCCAAATTATCATGGCAATGTGCACATGAATCTGTATTATAAGATAAGAATAGAGAAAGAGGAACTAAGAAAGAGCCATTCAGTTTTTAATATCCTTCTTCCAGTGCATTCTCATACTGCAGCTGGAGTGATCTTTTCAAAAGGCAA